ATACATGGCAATGATTTACAAGGTAATTATCATTCAGTTCTGCAATCATAGATGATTTTTATTTTTGCTTCATACTTTCACTATTATAATGTCATACTATTTATTTAAGCATTAAGAAAACAAAAAACTAAAACTCACAATTCACTATTAGAATACTATACTATTTATATAAGCAGTTAAAAAAAAAGAAAAAGAAAAAGCAACACTAAAACCTGAAATATATTCAGTAGCTCTGTACTTGCCATAAACCTATGTTTAAAAATCCAGTCCAGAAACATGAATGCTGGGTATTGTAGGCCAGATGATGCAAACTCTTGTTGTAAAATGCACCCTTCACTTCTTTCACAGAAGTATTAACCACAGCAGGCATTAAAGCAGTGAGCCAGCCCTCTGATACATTTACGATGCAATTTGATTTACAAATCTCTCAAATTTACTAGTCATTTTCATCCTGGGAAACAATTTTCAGTTAAAATGGCAATGAATCCAATCTAATTTTCTCAAAGAAATGCTGCAGTAATGGGGGTGAGAGCCTTTCTGAGAGCCCTAGCTCTCAATTCTTTACAGAAATGACCAGCAACAAAATCAAACATTCTGAACTGTGTTTACATAAATTCAACAGGGCAATATAGCAACAATGAATTCAGCTCATTTCTAGCGACCTCTTGGTGGAGTGTGCTGATACCTGGAGAGAAGCTGTTTAAAGTTGTTGGCGGAGGTGGGTGGGGTGGGGGGTGAAAGCAGAGAGCCCAGGATAACTCCTGTAAGTCAGGGTCTAAATTGAACCTCCTTAAAAGTTTCACTTATATGAGAAACCTGAAACTGTCGAGTTCACAGAAATAGACTAGAAGGGTGGTTGCAAGGGGATGGGAGTAAAGAATAGGGGGGTATCGGTCGAATCGTCCAAGGTTTCAGTTATGCCAGATGAATAAGTCCTGAGATCTATTGTACAACTTGGTGCTTAGAGTTAATACTGTATTGTATGGGGGTGGGGGTGGGAGAGGTTTTTAAAAAGTTCATGGCAAAAATACTATGAAAAAAACTATAAATGGGTTTGAGAACTGTTATACCAACATAAACTCATACTTCAATTCCATTTCTCTGCAAACTTTATATTTGCCAGACAGCCTATTAATTCACCAGAGAAAGAGACAGAGACAAGGAGAGAGGGAAATCACCCCCCAGTGGGGCATGATCAGGCCAGTTCCTTCTCCTTCTTTTCTCCATCCTGTTGGGACTTTGGGCATGTTCACATGCATACCTGACACATTCTTTAAGTCACTGGCACTCGAATTTGGACCATGCAGTCAGCTATGTGAGATCTGGCTTCTTCAACCACTAGGCCACAGGGCTGGACCTTCTACAAACTTTCTGAGGTCACTTTGTATACTTAAAAATTTGCTAAAAGGGTTGCTCTTATGTTAAGTTGTATCACAAAAATTAAACAAAATGCAGCTTCCATGGTAGGGGTAATATATATTGTGTGTTGGGGTTGATGGAATAAATACATAAATATATGTATGTGTGTATATTATATATTAAATACACTTTACATATTAAATATATTATGTATAGTATGCTATATGAGGGGACTATGAAAACATTCATGAAAAAATGGAATTAAAGTACATATTTATTTGGTGCAATTTTTTTTTAAATTCATGCAGTGTTTTTCATAATACTAACTTTTTCATGAACCTTTTTTGAAGACTGTTCATATTGTTTATAGTGTATGTAATATAGACATACATAGTTTTGCTAGACCATTTGTAAGTTGCAGGCATACTAACATTTCATTCCTAAATACTTCAGCTTTATTTCCTAAGAAAAAGACATTTTTCTACATAACCACAATATCAGTCAAGACATTTACCACTGAGAGAAAATGTCCTAAAACACAATTCATATTTAAATTTCCCTCACTGTTCCCAAATGTCTTTTACAGATCTTTAATTTCAGGGGCTAATCAGAACATAAACATTACATTTTGTTGTCATCTCTCTTTAGTCTCCTTCACCTAGAACAGTTTACTTATAGAATTTTCCATGATCTACATCAAGTTGTTTCTTTCCATTTAATTTTATATTAAATGATGAGAATACCACAGATTTATCAAAAAATTCAAAAATATAAAATATATCAAGATTTTTCTAGATAACTGTGTAAATGACATAAACATAAAATTTATAGGAGAGATGTAAAATATTCACTTATTAGGAATTTTAAAAATGCAAAAGAGAGTAGTCTTGACCTACCAATGACATACCATTTAATACCTAATAAAACAATAAGTTTGTTTTAAAATGGCATCATCTACTTTTGGCAAGACTACTATGAAACTACTTTATTCATTCACTGCAAGAGGCAATGACAGTTGACATAACATTTTCAGAATGTAATATTACAATACTTAGCAAACATCACTCAGATTCACATTCTTTGATTTGGCAATTCCTTAAAAATGAACTCTAAGTCAACAACTGTACAGAAATAAAGCTATTTTATATACTTATAGATGTTTCTCATTGTGTAGCTATATTATCCAACAGCTAGAGACAATATGATTGCCTAACAGGAGAATGGTCCAAAGAAGTATATAACTATAGCAATTTAAAAATGGTGAGGAAAAAAACACAGAAACATGGGGAGATGTGATATTACACCATGGAACAGAATGCACAAAACAACCCTGAATGTCTTTGCAGCTTGCAGGCAACAAAGTGAGAATTATGCTACACCAGGATGATGGGATTATGTATTTTAAGATTTAAAACCATTTTTTAACTGCTTCTTAATGACTTTTTAAAGCTTTCTCTCTGCTTAAAGCTCCCATTTCTCCCTCTCTATTGAGCTAACATATCTGCTCACTGAGGGAATAAAACGCCCTCATTCTCCACATCCTGCAAAATCTACACTAACACGCACTGCTATCTCCACCCTGCTAGGGTCCAGCTACCTCCAGATGTTATACACCTGTCACTACAAGAGATA